TTTTCGTAATTCGCCATAGTTTCTGCATTCTATATCTGTCCTGGGGGTCTATTTTTTGAAAGATTTTGTTCGTTGTTTTTGTTTTTAATGCTCGAAGGCTTTCTTTGAGCAGTTTAGTTATGGTCTTGACTTTGTCTTTGATTACTGGGTTTGGGTGTTTGTTTAGCGATTTTTTGAGGAGTTTTTTGTCCCTAAGTAGTTTTTTTGTTTTGTCGTCCAAGTATATTTGTGTATTTTTAAGTTTGGTGGCTTTAGATGGGTTTTGTTGGGGCGTTGCTTCCCTAGCTGCGTGGTATATCCAATTGTTGAGTTGTTCAACTGCCTTATCGATTTCGACTGCTGTGTCGAGTTTGATATTAAGTGCTATGTTCTGATTTAGAACATCGCAGAAAGTCTTAATGTTGGCAGAGCCTGGGAGGAGGCGTTTAGAGACTCCTACTGTTTCAATGGGGCCATTGAGTGAGAGATCTACCAAGATTGGTAGGTGATCCGAGCTCAGCTCAGCTGATGATGTAATATTTATTTTGTTACAGTGTATGCCAGCATATACTGCGAAGTCTATGGCTGAGGGCTTTTTCCTGTTATCGAATGGGTAGTGTGTGGCACCCCCGGTAGCCAGAACTTGTAGGCTTTTGTGTTGGTGAATTGCTTCGAGGAGGGGTTTTCCCCTCTTGCAGGCTTTGGGACATCCCCACCAGGAGTGTTTTGCATTCCAGTCTCCAATGAGCATATATTTTGTGCCTCGATTTAGGCTTTGCATATATTTGAAAAGTTTGTCGAAATGTGCAGTGCTCCAATTATAGCTTGGGGGGCAGTATATTGGTGAGATTACGATGACCTCATTATTCATGTGAATAGCAATGGGGGCTATTTGTATGCAGTCGATAGAGATTGACTGTAGGGCTATGTGTTTAATAGTGTTTCTGATGAAGGTGGCAACTCCACCTTTCCTATTCCCCGAGGGGTGAGGAGTGCTGTATAAAGTATACCCTGGGATACTAAATTCATTAGTACTGTTGTTGGTATCGTTAGCTATTAATCGCGACTCTATGATTTGCATTATGTCTATATTTCTTTGATTAATATAGGCCTCTACTTCTAATAGTTTGTTACGAATTCCACAGGCGTTCCAGGTAGCAATTTTTAAATTGTTAGTGGTGCCTGTGTGGTTAGGGGATCTGGGTCTAGGCATTGTTAGTGTCATTAACTATGTTGCTGGTCTTAGCTCCTGGAGTCAGGAGCATTAGTAGACAGGAGATGAGGGCATCTGTTTTTTTCCCCATTTCCGCCATTGAGTTGGCCGTTACTTGTACTGCCTCGAGTATTATGTCCATTTTAGGGGATTGTTCAGTTTGAGCCTTATTCTGATTGGGCTGATTTGTGTAGGCTTCGTTTCGTGTGGGAATGGGGATGGGTGCCTTTCTTTGTTGTTCAATTCTGAGTTTTTCCCTAAAGTTATTTAGGTGGTTTTCAGCTGGATTTAGACCTAACCTACTTAGATTCGTTTTTTGGTTAAATGGGTTCTTGTTCCTGAGTACCTCACTAAATGTTGGTTTATTTGTTTGATTATAAGGACTATTGTGTTTATTATTGTTAGACTTGCCCTGTGTACTGTGTGTATCAGTTCGGGATCCATCTGGTGCGTTGTTGTCTTTTGCCACATTTCTTCTTGTAGGTTGTGGACGTTGTCGTGTCGAGTTGTTGTTGTTATGGCTGTTGAGGGTGGTTAATCCAGGTCTTCCAGGAGATGAGTTCCTTGTCGCTGGGTTTTGCGGGTTGTGGGGGGACGAGTTTGGTGTGTTTAGCACGTTTTTTCCTTTGTTGTTGTTCTGTAATTTTTTAATGTTATAATTATTAAGCTCTTTTTTGTAGACTTTGCATCCTCTATAGCTTGCAGGGTGCGCCTCTCTGCAGTTAGCGCACACAGGTGCACTAGTTTTGGCAAATGTGCATTGCGTGGAGGGGTGTAGTCCGGCACATTTGACACATTTGAACGGGCGCCTACAGTAGTTTTTGCTGTGCCCGAATCCCTGGCACCGGTGGCACTGCACCGGAGCGTTTCTCCTGAGTTTTTGCTCAACGATGATTTGCTGGTTTCCAAGAGACCTAACTGTGAGAATATCTTCATTGTTTCTGCCATTAGCAGGGGCCAGTTCAACCTCAAATAAGTTCATAGGTTGTTTAGTAACCCTGTTACGGAAGGTATTTATTGATCTGGGAAGAAAGTTAAGGTTTATTAGCTCTTTTTTAATATTAGCGTGGGGGGTTGAGTAGTGAAGACCTCTAATTACTACCCTATATCCTTTATCACTGGCTGGTTGATGGGTGTACATATTCATACCCATGGATTCCAGATAGGCTAGGATTCTCTGGTATGAGGGAGTATCAGCGCAGTTTATTCTGGTGACATCCCTTCCTGCATTGTTGATTAGGAAGTTGTTTGAGTGTTCCCCCACGTTGTGTAGTGTATCAATTAACGGTTGGATGTTGTCTATATCATATAGGTAGATGGTGGGTGGTTTGTGTTTATCCGTAGATTGGCTCGGGGTATGCACAGTATTGGTGTTTGGTACACTTATTTCAGGTAGTTTAGTTGGGGGTTTTTTGCTATATGGGAGTGGTTGTCTTTTAGCCTCAGGAGTGGCCTCAGCACTTTGTGGTTTCCGCTTCCTTTTTCCTTCAACCACTGTAAATTTAGTGGGTGAGGGAGGAGGGGAGGGAGGCATTAGGTGCGGGTTCTTTCCTGTTGGGGGGGCTTCTGATAGTCCAGGGGAGTCAAGGTCCATATTTTGTATAAGTTGAGGGATGTTCTCCCGCCTGATATTAATCCCTGGGTTGTCTTCGTCAAAGAGCATGAGTTCCTTTGGGTTAATTTCTAGTATGGATGCTAAGGCGTCTACAGAGTTCTCAAAGGTCCTCATGTGTGTTCGTTTGTTTTTATTTGTGTGAGTATTGGTTGGGCTTAGGGGGTTCGGTATATTGGCTGTTTTCTTTTGATTTTTTATTTTGTCTGGGGATAGCGGCAGAGTCTTCCTAGCTTTGTTAAGAGTAAAGGAATCGGGTTTGTGCTGCTTAATGTAGTAGCTTCTTTTGTTTGCGTCTTTTGGCGTGGAATGTATGTCAGAGTTAACGACAATAGTTGTGCCAACTACGTTTACTGCATCCAAACTAATGTCATTTCGGCTAACAGAGGAATCCAGAGAGACCACTGGGGATGGGTTACAATCACTGTCATGGTGCGACATTGTCTGGTTTAACAGTTTAGTGTCTGGCAATGGGATATGGAGTTAGCAGAAATGTCTGTTAGTCGTGTTGGTTGCTGGAGAGAGCGTAGCTAGTGTTGCTGTTAATTTTAACAGTGCCGTGTGCAGTTTTGGTGGTTTAAAACTGTTTTCGCTGTAAAAGCTCTTTTAGTTGGGTCTGTGTGCGTAGAGTCTGTCTCTCTTGAGTGAGTAAGTCGGTGAGTGAGGGTTGTCAGTGTGTGCGCGAGAGAGACTGTAGAGGGAGGAGCTAACTGAGGCTTATTGGTTCTCTCGTTAGTGTTATAGGAGTAATCCGTTATGTTTCCTACTTGCCCTTTACACTGTCTTTCCTTCACTCTTGCTTTTGCACTCGATCTAACCTAGATCTTTCAATTTTCATTTCTCCTTTGTCGAGGGAAATATGGGTTAATATAATTTATTTTATTTCTGTATTTTGACCTTTAGTGCGGGGAAAGATCTGCGCACGGTTTATGTGGTCCTTGTTTCAGGAAAGTCAGGTTATGGTTGCCTTATAGTTACCAGACCAGTGCCTTCTTATCGCAGTGGAAGAAGCAAGAAAGGGGGGAGAAAATGGAGGACGTGAAAATTTTCCTTCCTCGTGGTTTGGGTTGTCTGGGAAATTTGGTTTAATTTCCTCCTTAAATTGTCCAATTCCTCTTTGTTACGGCTGGTTTAGCAACTTGCACAATTAACATAAATTTTTAGTGGTTAAAAAACATTAATTAACTTGTCACTTTTAATTAAATCACGGAGCACTTTTTTTGTTTTTTTTTGTTTTGTTTTTGTTTGGAGTAGCATGTGCTAACTCAAATCTAGCATTACCTTCAAGAGTGAGAGGGCAGCTTACTTTATTCTGTTTCGTAAAAGAGTAGAATTTACATATACAGCTTTATATCAATACAAGAGCCTCGTACATATTTTGGGCCAGTAAGAGTGCAGGTCTTTGACATTGGTGTTAGTGAGAGTGTGAGAGAGGGGTACAGCGCTGTAAGCTAAGCTTAACATTTGCTAAGCTCAGCTCACAGCGCTATTCCCTCTGTGTTTACATGTTGGCTTTTTTATGCCGAATTCACTAGACTAGAGGGTACATTTAATCATACAAGTATTGCTTCTGTAGCTAAGTCTTTTGAGATGGGTGATTGTGGGTGTGTGGGTGGGTGGGGGTGGGATTTTGGAGTCCCGGGGGCAGGAGGCTCAGGTTGCCAACGAACAACCTGAGCTCTCCATGCTTCCCCAGGAGGGAGCTAGTCCAGTATAGTTAATTTATTTTAGTTATCGTAGCAATGTGCAGGGCAAGAGTTATTTTTATGATTTTGAGTTTAATGATTTAGATTAAATTTTGAATTTAAGTTTGTTGAGCTATTGAGCTTTTTCAATAGCTGTCGAATTGTCCAATTTCTTTTTGACCCAAAAAATACGCACTTGTTTTAAAACGTTATAAATTAAATGCAATATTTATTAAGCCACGAAGTTTTCTATCAATTATCAGCGCAGGCCAGCCGAATTGCCGCTGCGGATATTTATGACCCGAAATGGTCCGAAACTGGTTATAGGCAAATATTTAAGCTGATCGTTTTCAGGCGTAGGTGAAGACAAACGAAGACGAACTGACAAAAGAATTTCTGCTGCAGTTAGCGGACGGCCAAGGGCAGCTATGCAAATAGAGCGAGAGAGTGATAAAGTTTATGTTATGCAGAAGGCAGGAGGAGAGGTAAAGCTTTGCTACGCAGAGCAAATTTATTGTTGTTGTTTAGCCGCTGGGTCATCAGGTGCGGGCTGCATAACCAGACATTCTCCCCCCGTTGGAAGACAAGGGCTTTCAACTTCATCCTGCTTCGGCAGCACACACAGCTTAGCAACTGCGCGATTGATGAGGCCAGTGGCGGTCTTCAGCACAGCGACTCGAGCCACATTGTCGGATCCAGCGACGAGGTTGACCACTCGAGCTAGTGGCCACTTGAGGGAGGGCAGGTTTTCGTCCTTAACCAGAACGACATCACCGAGTTGAACATCCGTCTTCTGTGTGCGCCACTTGGAGCGCTGCTGAAGGAGCGTCAGGTACTCCTGTTTCCAGCGGGACCAGAACAGTTGCTGGTAAAACGAAATTTTCTGCCAGCGATCCAACCGATTGAGGTTCAAATTAGTGTAGTCAGGCTCAGGAAACAAGGCCAGAGGAGCAGTACCCAAGAAGTGCGCCGGTGTCAACACATCAAGATCGCCAGGGTGTTCTGAAAGTGAGACTAAAGGACGAGAATTAATGATTGCCGCGATGTGGCAAACGAGAGTGCGCAGGTCATCAGCGGGCAGTATCGCAGGTCCAACAGATCGGTAGAAGTGGTACTTCGCAGTCTTCACAGCCGCCTCCCATAGACCTCCAAAGTGGGGTGAGCGAGGAGGAATAAATCGCCATTCGATACTGTCAGTCAAGCAGAATTCATCTATTGCGGTTTGGTGGCTGGCATTCAGGAACAATCGCTTTAGATCAGCCAACTCGTTCTTAGCGCCTACAAAATTAGTCGCATTGTCCGACCATATGCGGGCAGGCTTGCCACGAATCAATATAAAGCGCCTCAATGCGCTAAGAAACGCTGAAGTGGAGAGATCCTGGACCAGCTCGAGGTGAACAGCCTTTGTGGAAAAGCAGATAAAAATGCAGACGTAGCACTTGATGGGTGCCTTATTCCGAACTTCCGACTTGTGATAGAAAGGGCCACAAAAATCCAGTCCAGTCACCTGGAAGGCGTAAGATGCGCTGACGCGGTCCTCCGGAAGATCCGCCATAATGTGGCCAGCAACATGTGGCTTGGCCCGAAAACAAATTATGCATTTGCTCACAGCACTCGCAACCGTCTTGCGGCCACCAATTGGCCAAAACTGCTGCCGGATTGAAGCGAGCAGGGAGCGAGGTCCAGAGTGTAGGTTGCGCCGATGAAAATGCAGGATTATTGCGCGGGTTACAGGATGCTGACGAGGTAATATCAGTGGATGGCGTGCCTCATAGTCCAGAGCAGAGTTTTTCAGTCGACCGCCAACACGTAAAAGCCCAAGTTCGTCGATAATGGGCGAGAGCGATGCGATGGAGCTGGAGGCCTTTATTGGCCGTCCTCGAAGCAGGCAATGATACTCGTCATTAAGATGAACCCTCTGAATGGAGCGAATGAGCATTTGGGTGCCACAGCGAACATGTTCCGAAGTGAGACCTGGTTGCCTGATACGATGGCGAAACTTGTAGATGTAGCCGAAGACATGCTTTAATTTTTCCCACGAGTTGAAGAATTTGCAGTACGAGGATACATCAGCAGCTGCCGAGATGCCAACCAAAGCAATCTTTTTAAGGTCAGGAAGAGTCTTCACTGCAAGGCAGGACTCTGGCCATTGAGATTTTTCCTTTTGAAGATAGTCAGGTCCATGAGCCCATAGGTTAGAAGCTACCAGTTCACTGGGAAGAGCACCTCTTGACAGGATATCTGCTGGATTGCAGCTCGTAGGGACGTAGCGCCATTCCATTCCAATTGTAAAAGACTGAATTAAAGAGATTCGGTTAGCAGTAAATATTTGAAAACGTGACGACTCATCTCTAATCCAGGACAAAACAACTGCAGAATCCGACCAGCAGTAGTAGGAGCACGAGAATAGCCCCATTTGTTGTACTTCTTGAATGAGTTGAGCCAGCAGCACGGCAGCAGACAACTCCAGCTTAGGGACCGTGAGAGTCTTCAGTGGCGCCACACGAGATTTAGCGCAGAGGAGATGGGCCATCCTTCGGTCATCCTCCATGGACACGACGTAAATGCAGCCTCCGTATGCGTCAATACTGGCATCACTGAATCCGTGGACTTCGATCACGTTGTTTGGGTTCAGTGCTAGTCGAGGAAACTGGAGCTTTTGCGTCTCACAAATATTGGCCGACAAACTTAGCCACGATGAATTAAGCGCTGCAGGCAAGCTTTCGTCCCAGTCGAGTCTCTCTCTCCAGATCTTCTGTAAAAATATTTTGGCTTTAGTAATTACAGGACAAATAAGACCTAGAGGATCATAAAAGCAAGCGATCGTAGACAAGACTGAGCGCTTGGTTGGTTTGGCAATAATTTTCATTGGCGATGTGGAGAACAGCAAAACGTCCGACGACGAATCCCAAGCAAGTCCAAGCGTTTTTGTAATGTCGCTGCCATCGTCGAACTTCAAGAATGAATCCCTTTCGGCCTCTGGGATTTGCTGCAGCAAAGCAGGATCGTTTGAGCACCATTTTCTCAACTTGAAATTGCCCCTTTCGAGAAGTCCAGTGGTCTGCCGCATGATCTCCAAGACGTCTTGTGTCGAGTTGCCTCCTGTGATGAGATCATCCACGTAGAAGTCTCGCAAAAGTATTTTGGCGCCAAGGGGAAACGATGCCTTCTCATCTTCTGCCAACTGATGCATGGCTCGAACTGACAGAAACGAGGCAGGTTTAGTTCCATAGGTGACAGTGTCCAGCCTATAAACACGAATTTCCTCTTGCCGTGAATCACGCCACAAAATGCACTGCAAGTAACTATCCGGCTCAGCAATCCGAACGCATCTATACATTTTGCAAATATCGCCGGTTAGGGCGACAGGAAATGTGCGAAACTGCAACAATGTGTTGAACAATCTCGGCTGCAAGGTGGGCCCTGCCATGAGCAACTCATTCAATGAGTATCCAGACGATGATTTGGCAGACCCATCAAAGACAACACGCAGCTTCGTAGTTGTGCTATCCTCTTTAATGACGCAGTGATGCGGCAAATAAAACTTGCATAAATTCCGTGAGTCTAAATCCACAAGAGACATATGATTCAGATCGAGGTACTCACGAATAAATGCCGAGTACTGAGCTTTGAGATGAGGATGACGATCCAGTTTGTTCTCCAGGTTAACGAAACGACGATAAGCTTGTTGATATGAATCTCCCAGGATTTCAACACTATGCTTGGTTGGCAGGCGAACCGAGTATTCTCCTGACGGCAGCCGAGTAAAGTTGGCGTTAAAATGAGCTTCACAATCGAGTTCCTCTTTGGTACGTTGAGATCCAGACTCTCCAACGTTTTCAACTTCCCAAAACTTCCGCACAACGCTCTCCAGACGAGCGTCATCTCCGACTAACGTCCCTGCAGTAGCTTGGACCGCCAAGGCCGCTGACTGGCGTGGCGCTGATCCTCCGCCAGTGACAACCCATCCCAATCGAGTTTTTTGCAACAACGGGAGCCCATCAGACAACTTAATTTGGCCAACGCATAGCAGCTCAAAGAATAGACTTGCTCCAATTAATAAGTCAATTCTTTGTGATCTGAAGAACTGTGGATCGGCCAGGCGAATGTTGGAAGGTATGTTCCAGTCCTCTGGGCTGACGGTGAAGCTAGGCTGGTCGTCCGTGATGGCAGGCGCAACCAAAGCCGAGATACTGGAGACGAAATCTGAAGCTTGAGACTTTAGAGTAATATTTACCGAAAAACCATCCGAGCAAAATTTAGAGTCTCCAAGTCCAGATACAGTGGCCGTGGATTTGACTTTCGGCAACTGAAGCGAGTGTGCGAGGCGAGAAGTAATGATATGCAACTGAGATCCCGAGTCGAGCAAGGCGCGGCAAGGAACCCACGAACCAGAGCGATTTTGCACACTGATGACTGCAGTGGCAAGCAAAACACAATCCGTATCAAGATTCTGAGCGACTAAAGCAGCGGATTGCGATGACGACGAAGCGAGCGAGAAGTTTGACGATACATTTGGAACAGCATTTGACGACGATGGCACGTTAGGTGGAGCAGGTTGTGGGGGCGCTGTTACAGGCGGTGCGGGAAAGTGTAGAAGGCTATGATGCTTAGATCCACATGCTCGACAGGAGCCCGAACTACAATTCCTCAATTGATGTCCAGATTTGAGGCAGTTTAGGCATAAGGCTAGCCGTTTAGCTTCACGCAGACGAGCTTGAGGAGAAAGGCTGGAGAATTGAGCGCAATTATAAATGCCATGATTTGCACCCTGGCATATAACGCACAATCTGGTCGAGGCTGTGATGCTAGTGGCGACAAACGAACTTCTCCCATGACTGCTGAACCTCCTGGGCCTTGAAGCTTGCGAATTGCCACCATTGGATAAAGCAGCATGCTCCACATTCTCCAGTTTCTGGCATCGCTTCTCCAGAAATTTAGTAAATTCTGCGCAGGTGGGTATTTTGTCCAGAGAGGCAGACTCTTCCCATTTAGCCTGGGTAGTCGGGTCAACTTTTTGCAGCAGCGTATGAACAAGAATGCAACCAGCGATCTCCTCCAAGGTTCCCAAACTCTGAAGCGCTCGAAGATTGGCATTGAGCTTATCGGAGAGCTCACGCAGCTTCACAGCTGATGCACTTTCCACCTTTGACAAACCAAAAATATCTGTTATGTGAGCCTGAAAAATAAGGCGTTTATTATTGAAGCGATTGTCAAGTAATTCCAGCGCTACTCCATAGTTAGAGTCAGTGATCTCCAGCGAACGAACGGCATCTAAAGCTGGACCTTTCAGGCATGATTTCAGGTGCTGCAGCTTCTCAATTGGAGCCAGATCACTATTCCTATCAATAATTGTCAGGAACATTGAAATAAAATCGGCATACTCAGTGTAGCCGCCGCTGAAGGTTGGCAACTTAAGCTCAGGAAGGCACGATCTTCTTGGAGCAGGCGCAGCGGCCTCCATGGCCACCTCTGGATGCATGGTTGAACACGGAACTCCTTGGAATTTGCGCTTTCCCAGCTCTTGCAGCACCACCGATCTCATGGAGAACACCAAATCCTCAAAGTCGTCCCGCGCTTTGCTGCCAATTTCCTCATAATCGAGTTCCTCCAACGAATCATGAGCCAATGAGAAAGAGGCTTCGGTTTTATTTATAAGCTCAAGTTTCAGGGTGAGCTCCTCCTCAGGAACGGCCTTAACCCTATCGGCAGTAAGGCCAGAAGCAATTTTTTGAGCATGGGCAGCTATCGCGTTTGCCCTACGCTTAAAGAGCGTAACTCGATTGGGCGGCGAAAACTGAGGAGTTTCTGGGGTCGACATTTTATTTTATTAGCTCACAATATAAACTGCAGCCAACAGTTTGACATGCACTGCAGATTTTTCTTTGTACCGCAATGATGCCCGCACACAAGCGAAAGTATTTTGTCAGAGTTACTGCACAAAATAGGCGAGAAGCGAATTCGAATAGCTGTTACCGACGGCAAATGAACAGCAAGCAGGAGAACGAGAGCAAAGAGTACACGCAAAAGTACCGGTGCATATATGTGTATGTATGTATGTACGTTTGCCTAGCGCGGCGCGGCAAAGTACAGCCACAAGCAATGCACTAAACGAAATTGTTTACGCGCTTGGCACAATTATTAAACCGAAATGTTTAATGTTTTTACTAGCCAAGATCACGTCGGGGTCACCAAATGTTGAGCTATTGAGCTTTTTCAATAGCTGTCGAATTGTCCAATTTCTTTTTGACCCAAAAAATACGCACTTGTTTTAAAACGTTATAAATTAAATGCAATATTTATTAAGCCACGAAGTTTTCTATCAATTATCAGCGCAGGCCAGCCGAATTGCCGCTGCGGATATTTATGACCCGAAATGGTCCGAAACTGGTTATAGGCAAATATTTAAGCTGATCGTTTTCAGGCGTAGGTGAAGACAAACGAAGACGAACTGACAAAAGAATTTCTGCTGCAGTTAGCGGACGGCCAAGGGCAGCTATGCAAATAGAGCGAGAGAGTGATAAAGTTTATGTTATGCAGAAGGCAGGAGGAGAGGTAAAGCTTTGCTACGCAGAGCAAATTTATTGTTGTTGTTTAGCCGCTGGGTCATCAGGTGCGGGCTGCATAACCAGACAAAGTTTATGTTTTTTGTTTCTGTTTTGATTGGTTGCTGATTTTGAATCTTGTTAACGGTTTGGGTGTGTATGTTAAGTAAGATTTAGTACTGTTTTTTATAACTTGGTCTTTAAGGAGTGAGTTTGTTATGATGCGGGGGTGTGTTGTTACAGTGTCTCGGGGGCTGGAGGTTTAAAATTGCCAACGAGCAATTTATAACTCTCCAGCTTCCCCAAGATGGAGCTAATCCAGTTTAGTTGGAGTTTTGTGGTTATCGCAGCTGTTAGCAAGGCAAGAGTTATTTTAGGGGGTTATGTGTGGAGGCTTAGGTTTTTAAAGTGTTGATTTAGCTTTTAAATTGTATGTTTTATGTTTTAAGTTGGTAGTTGACTGTTGGTCTTATTTACTGTTTAGTGACGTATGTTTAGGTAACTTTAGGCTTGACTGGTTTAGTCTTATTGGCATTTTTAGCGTTATTGTTTAGATAATTTGAGTATTGTTGTTAGGCTTATTTCTTAGTTGACGGGTTGGTTTAGAGATGGAGGTTTGCGGTTGCTGTAACGTGGAGAGACAATTTTGGGTTTATGGGCGCATGTTTGTTTATATTGTTTGATTCTTGGCAGAGTGGTGGAATTGTTGTTTTATTTACGTTACGGAGGATAGTTTATGTAGCTTTAGTGATGCTTTTTCAGCTTGTTCTTTATAGTCGGACTAGTTATGGTGTGGGGGTGGGGAGGGGTGGGTTTCTGGTGTTAAGCGTGGAGGTTCAAGTTACCAATAGGCAAGATGTGGCACTCCGTACTTTGCTATCTAACAAGGGTGATATGTAGGTTTATTTTAGGAGTAGGCCTGAAGTTTTAGGTTAACAATTGGCTATAGTATAGGGTTAGTTATTTATTTATAGTTAGCATCTCAGCGCCTCATCCTTTTGGCGGATTGCGCCGGCTTCTTAGGGGGTGTATCTCCTTGCTGGTGGGCCAGTTCCTTCTTTTGGGGCGTTGGCAACATTAGTCCCCCCGCGTTTGCATGCGCAATTTGGAGGGTTGTAGGAGGTTGCAGCTTGCTTCTCATTTTAGCTTTTTGCGGTTTCTTGGTGAGGTTTTCCAGAGTCCAGAGAGTAAGCATAGCTCTGTTGAGCCAGCAGCAGATCTTGGCCGTCTCATCGGGTATGCAGTATCAGTTGTGGTAAGGGTCACACAGGCGCTACGCTTTTGGTGACCCAATTTTGGTGTTGTTGTTCAGTTGCAATACGAGCTGTGCGGTCGCATACGCAGCTGGCAGCTCATGGTGGCAGGCTTGCAGTAGCTGTAGTGTTTCCTTCAGCTGCTTTTTAGTTCCTTGTCTTCTCTTTAGGTGCTGGCTTCGGTTTTGGTATGGGCTACACAGGCATTGTTGGGCGTGTTTATGTGAAACAGCAGTCCAGTGGAGACTTATAGTAGCAGGTCAGGCTAGTGTTGGTAGTGTCTGATCTGTTGAGGTAAGAAAGTGCATAAGTGTTTGTTGGTAGTGTAGGGGGGGGGCAGGGCAAGTAGGGGTGTTGGGATCTGATGTTTATTCTTATAGTTTTAATTTCAAGCATCAGTGTTTAGCTTCTTGGCGTTGGTTTGGCCATATGGCAGGTAACGCCAAGGCATTTGGTGGGAGTTGTTTGACTTGGCAGTTTGGCCAGAGTGGTTTTTTCTCGTAGATTTCTTGCGGGGTCATACCTTACTTGTTTGCATAGTGTAACTTAGAAGGTGTGGTTTGTGTGTTGTTAAGGAGTTGGGTTATAAATTTGAATCAATCTGAGGTGTCTGAGGTGAGGTCTATGAAGTTTGGTTTATTGGGGTTATTCCTGGCTCTGACTCTCATTAGATCTTCAAGGTAAGTTCCAGTGTATCCTCTTTCCTTCTCCCTTTGCTTCCGTTCTTGTTCACTAAGTGACCATTTGCTAAAAGACGGGAGGTATTCTGGTTTCCTGTTGGATTCAGGAGATTTAGGTGGATCTTCCTGTTGTATCATCTCCATGAGTCTGCCCTGTGCTGCTACTATGTTTAGGTCCAGGAGTTGATCTTGGGTGGCTGGTGGGAGTTCATGTGGTTGTAGAGGTGTCATTACCATTCTCTGGATGTATTCCGGTTGATATTTTAGGAGATTTGCAGTTTGTAACCTGGTTCTGATCCCTTTTCTCAGGGCTCTGGCGATACCGTTAATGTAGTCAATGCTGGGTCTTTCGACCTCATAGCCGCTCCTTTTGGCTCTTTCGTATTCCCTTTTTCCTTTCTTTCCCATTTATCGTTTTCATCTTCTCTTTGCTCTAGTAAGACTAGCGTTGATGGGTAGGGTTCTAGGTTCTCAGTTTTGGAGGCTCCGGGGTTATCTTTTAGTAATTTTTCCCGAGTTGGAATTATGTGTTTGTCCAGCTGCTCCTTAAGCCTGGGTCTCTCTATTCTCTCAGGTACGTAAGGTTTTATTAGGATGCTTCTAGCTTCTGGGTTGGGATGGACAGATAAGGCTTGTGCAAGTCTTTCACTGGCTTTGTTGTAGGTTGCTTTTATGGACTCTATGTTGTATTTATCTCTGATGTCGACATTTCTGACATATCTGCCGGCTTTGACTATTTTCCGGTGGAGTATGTTTTGGACATATTCCACTCTTGTGAATTGGGTGTTCGAGGTTAATGCTCCCCATACCGGAAGCGCATATTGCCAAAGAGGTGCAATTAGCTGTTTAGCTACTATGACTTTGTTCTCCTTAGCAAGAGTGCTGTTTTTCCCTATGATCCAATCGAGTTTGTTTTTAGTGGCCCTAATCTTGCCAATAAGCTCTCTGGTGTTGGCACAAAGATTTAGTCCCCTGTCTACAATGATCCCTAGGTATTTCTGTTGGTGGGTGTTTTTAACTCGTGTGTTTCCCAACATTGGTGAGAGGCTGGATATTCCGTTTGCTAGGGTGCGTTTGGTGAATAAGACATGTGTAGTTTTGGTGGGGTTTAGGGTGATGCACCATTTCATGGCCCAGTCCTTTAGGTATGTTAGGTATCGTTCGTTAGTACTAACTGCTTCTCTGGCGTTCTTTTTGGCGCACAGGACAATGGTATCGTCAGCATAAGTGGATAGGAAAACGTCAGCTAAGTCATTGCAGTTGCTTGAGAAGTTCCCCAGGTAGTTTGGGAGGGGGATGTCAGATGTGTATATGTTATACAGGATGGGGCCAAGAACACTTCCTTGGGGGACACCTGCCCGGATCTTCCCAAGGGTGGAGTTGACTCCATTTGGCCCGTTGACGCTGAAGGTTCTGTCCGTCAAATAACTCTCTAGTACTCTATAGATCCTATACGGAAGGAGTTTAATTAGTTTCATGAGTAGCCCTTCATGCCAGACTCGGTCGAATGCTTCGCTGACATCTATAAATACCGCAGAGCAGTATTTCTTTTCCTCGTATGCTTTAAGAATGTGTTGGGTTGACCTAGCTAGTTGCTGTTCTGTGTTGTGGTCCTTTCTAAACCCAAACTGATGTGTGGGGAAGGCTTTAGCAAAGCCTTTGCAGCGGAACATTCGCTTCATCAGTAGGGCCTCAAACATTTTAGAGAAACCAGACAGTAGGCTAATGGGTCTGTATGAGGCTGGATCATGAACACATTTTCTGGGTTTCCCTGATCATGGTTATAGCGGCATGTTTCCATGCAGTTGGGAAGTGACCGGTCCTCAGGATGGCATTGAAGATGTTTGTAAGTGTAATAATGGCTTTGAAAGGGAGGACCTTTATAATTTTGTTGCTGACCTGATCTTCTCCAGGGGATTTATTGTTACGCAGGGATTTGATTTGTGTGAGCACTTCTCCAGGGGTGACCGGGAGAAACGGAATAGAGGAGACATCGTTTTCTTTTGGGTTGAGTTGTCTTTGCATCCACATGGGAGTTTCTATAAGTTTTTTATATCTGATTAATTGTTCTTTCTCATCTGTGACTGATTTCCTAAAGGCTCCTGTGTTAGATATTCTGGGGGAGAATCTTTCCTCTAGGTGCTCTGCAAGGGCTTTTACCTTTTCTTCAGTGTTTCTAGTCCAGTAAACTTGGTTGTTTTGGGTGATCTTGAGTGGCCAGTTTGGCTCAGAGTGCCTTTTGTAGTTTTTCGTAATTCGCCATAGTTTCTGCATTCTATATCTGTCCTGGGGGTCTATTTTTTGAAAGATTTTGTTCGTTGTTTTTGTTTTTAATGCTCGAAG